ACCATACGGAGCTGGTTTTGGCTACGGACCTTACGGATATTATCGCCCTTATAATCCTATCAGAGGCGCTATACGAGGAGCTCTTATTGGTGGCTTAATTGGTGCTGCTCTTGGTGGTAAATAATGTGATTAATTGCATTTGTACATAAATTCAATTAGTGTTCCTATTTTCTGATAAATTATTCTAAAGTTTGCTTATTTAGCAAATTATGGCAGTAATTTTGCTGCCGAAAAACGTTAATAGTTTGAGGTGTGTTGCCAGAACTTCAAAAATAGGAAAAAACACTACTTATCTGGCTAAGCTGAAAATAATTCCATGATCAAACAACTCCTAATAATTCATAATTAAGTGCTGGCTAACTTCAGGTTGATGCAGCTAACTTTGTTCGTATAAACAAATGAATTATTAAAGCGCGTAATTTATAGATTCTCTTATTTACAACCTGATCACTGTAAAACATAAGGATGGCTTAAAAAAATTTGTTAGAAACCAATCCACCTAAATTTCATACTTCACCTATTAACATTCCAAAATAGAGAAGCCTAACCTTGTCCAAATATATGTTTCTCTCATCTTCAACGTTGACGACGTAAATACGATCAGAATTTAAGCATGGCAATATCATGTGTGTCCTGAAAATTTTCCTCTTCATTAATGAGAATATGGTGGTACGACCATCTTTGCTTTTGGTTATTTGCAGACTGAGAGATTACCGTTTTGCAGACGGCTTATCATAACAAGATGAGCAAGCATTCCAACCGCTGTGATGTACTTCATCGCCTTTGTGTGGAAAAACGACTTTAGACAGGATCTAAAATGTAGCAGAAATGAAATAACGCAATTTGCCAGCGCCACTGCTTCCTGATTTTTGTAAACAAGCGGTTTACGTTCTGGACTGCTTTTTCACAAACTCTCAACATCTCATGAAAATTATTCAAATTAGTGAAGAGGGACCTTCTCTACATGGGAAGAACTTTACGGATTTAATTAGGTCACGATTTCAAAAAGTATTTTATCTCAAGTCACAGCTTAGCGAAACTGCTGATAAAAATTGGGAAGGAAATCTTCTGTGATTAGAAATTTGGAACAGAATTTTAT